CTTAAGTACAGCAACAAAGTACTTGTACTTAGTTACATCCCACCACTGGTAATACATGAAGTATTTTCGCCCACATTTACTAGATCTCCATTCCAACATGTTCTTCAAACAAACAGCACCTGTTATATGAGTAAACAGTTGGTCCAGAAGATGTTTCTTATCAGCTGAATATTTACAACAGTCCAAAATAACATGATTCACAGTTTGGTAAAAATCACATTGTCCATTATTATGTTTCCCTATGATAAATAAAGAACTTTAGGTTTGTATGACCTATTCTTAATCTTCACCAATATTGATTCATCCCTCTTTCCTCCACTATACCTGGATCTGTAAATTGTATTCTATAGCCCAGAGGTTCTCAAACTGGGGTCCCAGGACCCCCAGTGGTCCGCAAGAGGCATCTTGGGGGTCCAAAAACAATTTTACTGAATTGTTAATTTGGATTTTATTTTTTAAAAATGCATGGGGAACAACGAACTAATAAAACAAACATAATTTAAATAAAAATATATTCCGATGGCATTTAGGGGTTGAAATGACCATTTACCTCTTAAAAAAGGTTTACGAGGAGGTCCCTGGAATTTTTTTGCCCTTGTAAGGGGTACCCAGACCCAAAAAGTTTGAGAACCCATGCTATAGCCTATTGCAAAAAGATGTCTTCCMCTTGTATCTGTTTGCTAACTTGTCCAGAACTCTGCAGCCAGGCTTTTAACTCAGACATCTAAATTCAGTCACATTACCCCAATCCTGTTTGAACTAACTGGTTACCTGTTCGCTTTAGGATCCAGTTTAAAATACTGGTCCTTACTTTTAGACCTCTGAAAGGTCAGGCACCTGCCTATTTTCAGGACACGCTCTCCTCTTACAATCCAGTTTGTTGCCTGSGTTCTSGAGATCAGAATCTCTTAGTTGTTCCTCGTACTCGTTTCAAGACCGGGGGACCGGGCTTTTTCTTTGATGGCTCAGTCTTTGGAATGCTCTCCCCTTTCCTCTGCGTTCTCTCACTGATATTGAGTTTTTCAAGAACGGTCTGAAAACCCTCTTCAAGCAAGCGTTCAGCTAAATTGGCCCTGTTAATTTTAAATGAGCCTAATGCCTGTGTATTTTAGTATTTTTATATTTTCAACTTTGTTTGCTTGTGTGTTTAGTACTGTTACTGACCACTTTTGGGAAATTTCTGTCGTTTTACTAAAGTTTTGTTGTGATTTTCTGATATTGTTTTATGTTGATGATTGTACACCATGTGAATTTGTTTCTGTGAAAGGCGCTTTATAAATAAAATTTTATTTACTTACTAAGATTTTGGTAAAGAGCTTGAGATCACTGCCAAGAGGTGCAAGAGGCCGATATGATGATGGATCAGTTAGATCTTTTTCTTTTTACAGTATTAAAGAAATGTTTGCTGTATGAATCTGGTAGTTTTATTCTTGATTGATTCTTTCAACACTCTCCGCAGTGGGGGGTGGGGTGGGGGGGGCATCTTCAATAAAGAAAGCCAATGCAAAGGCCATCAGGGCCAGGTGATTTTCTACTTGGAAATTCCTTTATGGCTGCAACAACTTCAAGTTCTTGYTGCATATTTTGGTCTAATCTAGGAAGCAGGAGGGAATGCAAAAAATGAAATATATCTTATAAATCTCTTATTTATCTTCTGTCGCCAATCCAAGTTTATTTAAGTCTTCGTAATAGTCCCTGAAACACTTATTTCAAGAGGGTCTGTAACCCATTGGAAGATTTTTGTCCTCAAACCAAAAATTGAATCATATTTAAGAATATTTGGCTCATTTCAACGAGTGCTGTTTTTGCAATGTATAGTCAAGTTTTGTCATGGTCTGTTTATTTTTCTTAGTTTTCTAGTGTTTTCAGTGTTCCCCTGTGTTTCTCAGCCCAGCTGCCCCACATTTCCTTGATTGTCACCCTTGTCTTTCTCCCCAGGTGTTTTCTGTTTAGTAATTAGTTTTCTGTGTATTTAAGCCCTGTCCTGTCTCAGTCTTGTGTCGGATCATTGTGTTTGATGTGTTGGTTCTGGTTCTCTGTGCTTTGTTCCCCCCGCCTGTGTGATCCTCGTGCCTCCTGTAAGTTCAGCTGTCTCTACAGCATTTTTGTTATTTAAAATAAATTTTTGTTCTACTTTTGGAGCCTGTCTGCGCCCTGGGTCTGTTCATGCCAAATCCTCACAAGTTTTACACATGTTCATGCTCAGAAGCAGTCATTTCTCAGCAAATTACAGCATTTATTTTTCTACACACCACTGACTACCCTACCCATGCCTGCAATACATTATACCATGAAAATGATCAGTACATTCAAATAGGGTTGCTATTTGAATAGTTAATTTTAAAAGATGAAGCTAAACAGCYAGAGTTTGAGTTTTTCAAGTTTTATTTTAGTTATCTCTTTATTCTTAAGCAAAGTTACAGTAGATCTGCCTCACAATTTCCTCCTTCCACTGGTGGCTAAGCTTTTAAAACACACAAACAGTGAAATGAATACAGTAGTTACAAGTACTCAGCCAGAACAACATCTAAATTAGCAGTGGGAGTTGAAGGAGGTACACAATCTTTTCACCGACCGGTCGCCTCGTCAATAAAGCAAAAGACAGATAATTAAGGACAATCAAACACACTGTTGCTGCTGACTACATTTACTGTAGTTGAGCTAAGGGTCGAAATGCTATGACTCGGCTATGGGTGGGGCTTTAGTGGAAACGATGGGAGGGGTGGTCCCTTTCCTAACTTCTTTTCTGGGCAGGAAGTATTTACTCCTTGGAGTGCATGTAGAGCAGCAGGTCGGCAACACGAGTGCTGTAGCCATACTCGTTATCATACCTGCAAACACAAAAAACATGGGATAAAGGCAAGCCTGTTTCAAAATGTGTGCTCTTTTTTTAGTTCCTATATCAGAAAAAGTTCATTAGGTCCTCTGGTTGGGTTTTTTTAATGAAACATTTTGTCTCTCCTCCAAGAGACGTCTTCAGTCTAAGGAGTTTCAGGTATAGGGATAATCAGGGCCCTAACAATCAGAGTGATGGTCCTCTGTGAACAACAGGGATAATCAGGGCACCAAAAATCTTTTGTTAGGCTGATGGTCCTCTTTTACATGTGAACAGTTTTGATTGTCATCGTCCACCATGTGGAGGCAGAGCTCATGAGGCTGAGATCACCTGAAACTCCTCAGACTGAAGAAGTCTCTTGGAGGAAAGACAAAACATTTAATTAAAAAACCCGTCCAGAGCACCTACTGAACTTTTCACTATTTTTCTACCTGGATTACTGAGATGCATCAGGACATTCCTATATCAACTCAAAGCTTAGAGTACATTTGAAACAGACATTTGAAAACTCACCAGGAAATGAGCTTGACAAAATTGTCATTGAGGGAGATGCCAGCACCAGCATCGAAGATGGAGGAGTGAGTATCACCAATGAAGTCAGACGACACCACCTGCAAATATTACCCAAGTCAGAAACGCAAGTTAGTCAAAATTTAAGCAGCACGTTGCTGAGAAAAAATACCCATCAGTTCAGCCTTAGAGGTACCATTTTCCCTTAAAACCAGACTTTACCTGGTCTTCAGTGTAACCCAGCACTCCCTTCATTGGTCCATGGGCAGCCTTCTTGACGGCCTCCTTAATCTCAGCGTAAGATGCAGGTTTGGTTAGACGGCATGTCAGGTCCACCACCGACACATCTGCCACTGGCACCCTGAACGCCATTCCTGTCAGCTTACTAGAAGGATAACAAGAAACCCATATTAGAATTATTTACTTTTTAAAGCCTCTTGATGCACATGTTTTTACAACTCAAAAAAACAAAATCTTTTGGACCAACCCATTTAGCTCAGGAATGACTTTGCCCACTGCCTTGGCAGCACCAGTAGAAGCTGGAATAATGTTCTGGTGAGCACCACGACCATCACGCCAGGCCTTGGCGCTGGGACCATCCACTGTTTTCTGGGTGGCTGTGTAGGCGTGAACTGTAGTCTACAAGGGGCAGAGTTATGCAGTATGAAAAAACATTTAAAAAAAGACCAATTGTAACAGTAACAAATTATTTATAATTTCCATTTGGACACAAGGGATTTACTGATACTTACCATGAGAGCCTCCTCAATTCCAAAGTTATCATGGATGACTTTGGCCAGGGGGGCCAGGCAGTTAGTGGTACATGAGGCATTACTATAAAATTGGGRGGAAAAAAAGACTTTTGGACACTAAACTTAACTATTTTGAACTACATCAAGATAAAAGAAATGGGTTCAGGCATATGCAAGGTGAGAAACATTACCTGACAATGGTCATGGAGGAGGGGTCGTATTTGTCCTCGTTGACTCCCATTACAAACATTGGGGCATCAGGTGAGGGGGCAGACACAACCACACGCTGTGCACCACCCTGGATGTGAGACTGTTGGGAACAGTGTGAGAACTCGGGTCAGAAAACAAACTCTACAGATTTCTCTGAATACCTGTTAATGTGTCTGATTACATACTGAGGCCTTTTCCACACTGAGGAAGACTCCAGTAGACTCAACAACATATTTGGCTCCAGCACTGCCCCAGGGGATCTCAGCAGGCTTCATGCTAAAGTTAAAAAACTGATTCAGTTTCCAAATATGATGCAAATTAGTTCAACCAACAAAAAAAAGATAGCTGATCTCAAATCTCCAACTGTGAAAGATAAAAAACTAGAGTTGATATGATCCTACAAAGTGCATCCTGTGTTAAATGATTGTGTAGGGCCAGGTAATAACACACACACACACACACACACACACACACACACACACACACACACACACACA